TGCTTCATGATAAATTTAATAGGCAAAGGCTTATTTTACCTCTCAGTTTGAATACTGTCAGAAGGCAGTAATTGAATGTGCTTGTGTAGCTACTAGCTGAGGGTTTTGCTTTGTCCTCTCTCTATTCACTATGCTTTAGATGTTCAGGAAACCCAAGTGTAAAAATGATGTAAAAAGGTCATGTCAAAAATCTTTGTCTGTAAAGTTTAAAACTTTAACATTAGGAATGTGGTATTTATTATCCATGTGTTTTCACCTTGCTACTTTTTCCTTTAATTTATTTCTTCCAAAGTCAGGTTAGTCAGGTCCAGAGCAAGGATCTGCACTTAAAAGAACATTCTGTACCACTTTTATCCCAGAGGCAGTTCCTGGTTCTTGGGAAACTGTGAGTGAGCCTTCAGTGTACTAATTTAACGTAAATCAGATGGAATCTGTAAACTCAGAAACATAGTTTGGTTCTGTTGCTGTGCTTGTTTAGAGGAATCTGTGGGATGAGGATTATTAATAGAAACTGGTTGGTCTTAGAAACTGGCTGGTCTGTGAGCACCACACTGAAATGTCACTGGTTTTGAAGAGTATTAAGATCTGAGAGATATAGAGAGTGTATTTACAGTAATTCGTGTCCATCTTAGAGGCTGTCTTTGAGGTTAATGTAGCACCTACCTCCTATAGACTATTGCATAGTTAAAAATAATGAAACTGTGATAGTGGTGACTGTAACACAGTCAACAAGCAGCAGAGAGCTCAGTAGACCTCTTGATATGCATGTGCTGCTAGCTTTTACAATGCACAAGACATTTTCTTAGACAAAGTTGTTACGTTTTAAAGCATCACATGGGATGCTCTGGGTATTCCTGCCTGCCTCTGGGTTCCTATTGCTTCAGATGATCAGAAATAAAGATTTAATGTGCTTGTCTTGATGGTTGTTGTAACACTAATCTTCAGTGTTTTATAGGCATGAGTTTCAATGTGACCATCACCAAAAAGAAATATAATTAAAGAAAGGAAGAATTGAATTCCAAGCCATCTGTGAAGCATCACTGGTGGTTTATTTACATAATATGACATTTTTGACATTCAGTGAGTTGCTTTACAGTTTATGAAACAGCAGGTCTGTGGCACAGAGGTGTAGGATTATGGTGTGAAAGGAGAATATAGTGAGCAGAGCATGATCAAAGACCTCATGTTCTGTTATCTTTGAATTGATCCACGGAAGTATGAAATACATGTCTTGTACTGCTGCTCTTGCTTTGCACCTGCTTGCAAGCTTGCAGAGACTGTGGTCTGGTGCTGCTTAATGAGCCATGGAGGCTCGTTCTGGCAGCCACAGGGCCCTGAGTTAAGTGAAGTCTGTAGGGGTGACTGCTGGATCACAGAGCAGCATCAAAGCCAGAGTCCTGTCTTCACCTTCTCTGTCTCTTTCTCCCACAGTGATATGCTTTATTTACAGGGAAGAGGAGAGAGTCAAGTTGCAGGTTGTGAGCTGGGTTGTTGTAGGATCAAAAAGTGTTCTTTTGTGTTTAGGAAAAAGCTGATGATAGACAGTAGTTGCTAAGATAGCCAAAAAGTAGTCACAGTGTTGGCTGGAGGGTCACCTTGTCAACTGGTAGAAATGCCTTTCTGCTGAGATAATGCTTCCCCTTATCTAATTTATGTAGTAGGTACAGAGTAAAAATGTTTGATAACTCGCATCTTAAAATGCATTTAAACCAATAATGGGTGTTTTTATTTTCCATTGGTTTATTTCCATATATCCTTCTTACATATCTTGATAGTCAGGGACACCATGCTGTAAAATGCTAAAATTTGTAATGTTGCAAAAATCGGATATATGGCAGTCCCATAGTTGACAACCAATAAATAAATTATTGGGTGAGGAAAAGTGTTTGAGGGATTATTGAAATCTCTTGCATCTTTGATAAAATCTAAATTACATGTTGCTGTTTGTCTTAATAACTTGAGCTGGTCAGGGACTGGCAATAGCATTTACCACTAGGTTTTTGTAGATTAAAAAAAATGTTTAGTTAAATAAAATTATAGATTTTTTGTTCATTTTTATATATTTGCCTTTGCTTGAATGAAATGTCTGCTGGGAGTCTCTCCAGTTTGCAACACGTCTCAGTAAAAGATTCCAGTAAATTTACTGCTAAACTGGATGCTGAAAAGGTTTTTTTTTCTGCTACTGCTGTCATTGGTAATGTGGGCAGTGCCTGAAACTGGACCTGTTTGTCTGTTAGATGCCCATCCTGCTGGTTTCTATGTCAGAGATGCATATGTGAGCGGAAGGGATCAGGTGTCGCTCTGTGAAATTACATGCACTCATGATGTCAGGAGCTCGACCCTCCCCTTGCTGTGTGGAGTACGACTACTCATTACTGGAGAGCATTTGTCTATGTGGCACCTTGTGTGCATTGTGGATCCCGCTTTTTGGGGACCTGAGCAGCATTTTGCGGTACAGAGGAGGTGAGTGGTAAGATGCATGTGATGGTGTCTCCTTCAGTCCCTCGCTCTGAAGTGGAGTTTGCACAAGAGCTGCACCACAGCCAGAGCTGAGTATTTCCTCCCTACGGGCATCCTCTTCCTGCCTCTCCCAGTCACTTCCAGCAGCCAGGCTGAGTTACTGTAATCCCCAGCTGGAGGAAAGACTGAGCCATTCATGTAAATTTTTTTTCTAAACAACAAGGATAGTGTGAGAAAAGCAGAAAAGACCACTCAGTGCTGTGTGTGGACGTTTTTTGATTCTTCTGCAGGAAGCAATGAGTACCATTAGGTACCCCTTTGTATTCAGGAAACACCAATATAAGCTGGTTTGTCAGGGCATTACGTGTGGAAAGTACTGATTGTATTTCAACATGGTTCTAGTCAGTGCTGTATAAATAACATTGATTGCTTCTGATGAGCTAAATCTTCAGGTTATTTATCCTCTCAGGATTCACGTTTAGCTAGGCACTTACTATTTCCAATTGCACAAGCTCCAGGGGGATCCACAGTGTGGCACAAGCAAATAGTGAAGAGAATAGAAGCCAGGATGGCACCATCTCTCCAATAAGTTGTGTTTGTATTACCCAACACAAAAAAAGTTTGTTGTACTGGTGATGCAATGATTATCCTCCAAAGGAAGAGCTAAGTTATGTTTTCTTGTGAGCACTTGTTGTAGAATAGGTAGACTAGACTGATACTTGCATTTCTTATCCTTGCAGAGGAGGAAGATGTCATATGACAGAAGTAATCATATGACAGCAGTACTTCATGTTCTCTTCGCGTGCCATAATGATTTGAATGTGCTCATGATTTCTTGCAGTGGAGATGGTGGAGTTTAGTTTGCATGTGTTCCATTAAAGATTGAGAACCATTGTAGGTGAAGGGATTTTATAGAGTAGAATAGAGCAATGGTGTAAGACAGCTGACTGACATGTCTTGTTTTAGCCAGCCATGAAGAGATGCCCTGTGAGTAGCAGTAATGGTGAGGTCTGGGATAGATATTAATGTGCTTCACTGGTTCTGTAAGGTAACACTTATGAAAAGCTCTACTTTAAACTACTCCTTGCAGAACTAACGTTACTGTTTCTATGAAAAGCTCTACTTTAAACTACTCCTTGCAGAACTAACGTTACTGTTTCTATGAAAAGCTCTACTTTAAACTACTCCTTGCAGAACTAACGTTACTGTTTCTATGAAAAGCTCTACTTTAAACTACTCCTTGCAGAACTAACGTTACTGTTTCTATGAAAAGCTCTACTTTAAACTACTCCTTGCAGAACTAACGTTACTGTTTCTTAACTTACATTGTAACCCTGTTTTCTTCTGTACAGACGAGTCTGTGCTACCCGTGCTGCTGCTTTTAAGGTTGAGTTCAGGATGGCGCTGCTAGAAACTGCAGAGCTTTGTCTGGTGGTGTGAAATGCCTTGGAGTCAGCTGCAGGATACTTCCTCCCTCCACAGAAAATAAGAAACTCTTCTCTCTCAATTTTACTGCTGACTAGACTGGCTGGATTAGTGTTTACCTTGATACTCTTTTCGTACTAAATGGAAGCTTTGGGATTTTTTTGGCTGAACAATTTGTGACCAGTGATTTTGTAAAGGATTTTGCCTTCTGTTTCAAAACTGCAAGAATGTATGTCCTTGTGAATGTAGATAAATTGATGGGCACTAGGAGATGAGGATTAACAAATTCGCGGTTTTAAAGGGAGTGTATACTGGGATGGTGGGTGTGTCATTGTAGGCAGGGAAATTCTCAAATCCTATCTGACTCATAGAAGGCTGTACCTATGCATTAACAAGCAATGAGCTGCACAACTGTGTTGTTCTTGGAAACTTCAGCTGTAAAAATAAGGCCATATCTGAGCTGTCTCTTAAGACAGATTTTTTCGTGGCCTGTTTTAGCAAGTAGAAGACTTGTGCATAGCTGGTGAGCTCAGACCTTGCTACTGTAAAGATGTGGAGTTTCTTCTGGTATGCTCTTCTTATTTGAAAGGAATACTACTTTTAGACTATGAATTTAGAGGATGTAGCGCATCAGAAGTATAATAGTAGAAATCAAAGTTGCTATGATGACTATAATTATATTAATTCTAGTGATGACTTGTATCAGTAGCTTGCTGTTTAGCGTGGTTAAGGCAACCTGCCTTGGGGATAACTTCTATGAAGTTGCTAGAAAACCAATACCAGACACTTAGGATATTGGTGTGGAGTAAAAGTTGCTACAATGTGTTTTGTGGTCAAACATAATTTTTTTGCCTCTAGAAATAAGAAATTATGAAATTCCCACTACTTCATTTGCTGCAACTACCAGTGTCTCATGCTCAGCCTGATCTGTTTTGTTTATCTTGTCTATTATGTGAAATGCACACAGAATATTAACTAAGACCAGCCACCCCTCCTCCAGCCATAACATAGACATTACACCAGTGTTTCCACATTCTAGGGACATTTGGGGCAACTGGGTAGCTGATAAGCTTAATATCCTTTTTTCCCCCTAAATCTGAAAGATGTTGACCTAGTTTACAGACACGAATCATGTATAATGATATCAGTACCTCCTGATGGGTGTGTAATAATTCCACTGGTTTATTCTGTTTGTAGATGCTGTGACAATGGAGTTAAACTGCGCTGAACTACCTCTTTATGTAAGTCCTACAACACTAGGCTTCTACCTGAAGAGTCGCTTTCTTTTGGGTAACAGCTCATTCAAAAGCAGGGTGAATGAAACCAAAAACCATTCTTTGTTTTTTCTGAGACTGGAGGCTGTTGAATGTTGCTGTCTGATGCAGGGATGTCTGGAGGTGATAGTTTTCAATACTGTGACTCAGGTCTCTGAAGGAAGTTTCAAATTTTTCCCTTCCTTGTGATCATTGTTTTCTTCTCCTTCAATAGTCTTAATGCCTATGGATTTTTTTTTGATTTTTAGCTTTTTGTAGATTTTAGAAGCAGCTGTAGTTAGCTCACCCTTTAGCACAGTAGTTGACACATTTACCCAACCCTATTACCTCATTTCGGATCTAACTTTCTAAATTCCTTAGTTTGTTTAGACTTCTCTCAAGGTAAGCCTTCTTTCTGTTTAAGAACATTTGCACCCTGGCTTGAACAAGATACCCCACAGACAAAGCATCCTGCAAAAGCCAGAGCTTTGGAGAAGCTTCACGGACTGGATGTGCTGTGATGAAGAGGAAGATTCTCAATTCCCAGAGAGGCGTGCCAGGGGGAGGATATGGGGGCTGGATAGATCTGGGATTGGATGGACAAATACCTTAAATTGTGGAAGCCCCAGGACATGGGCGCGTGTGTCTGTACTCCTGTGGTAGTTGAAGGCATTCTATTAAAACTGCTCTCTTATCTCTATAATAATTGCCTGGTGAGTAACTTTTTGGCTCCTGGCTGATCCTTTAAGGCAACAGTCTCATTTGCAGTTTTCAAAAGCAGAGCCTGTGTAGAGACACCTTTCACCCTCTTTCCCACAACTTATGGCTGTTTTTTCCCTATAAAATCCCAAATTACCATTCTCCCTGCTTCCACAAAACAGGAACTTGTGTGTTATGTAAAAAAAGAAGGTGAAGTTTGCAATCAAGTGGATTCTTTTTCTGCAAATCCTGAAGTGATTGCTTAAAATAGGTGAACTCACAGTTAAAAAAGAGGTACTAACAGGAGTGAGTTTTTTAGCTTTGTTTACAAAGAAGGTCTGAGGTGACATAAGTGCAGCAAGTGTAAGAAAGATGTGGTGAAACACAATCCCATCCAGGTTTCTTAGATCCTAACCTAGGATTTTAGGATGGGGAAGCATCCCTCCTTGGTAACCTTTTTGGAAGTAAAAGATACCTGTATGAAGAACATTTTTCTGTGCAGTAGCTTGCTTTGCTTTGACAGCAAGTGGAAGCTACTCCTAATTTGGTTTGCTCTTGGCATGCCCTATTATCAGAGAAGGTGCGTCCCGTCTCATTTACTCTTCCAAAGAAAGGAGTGCAGCTGCTTTAGATGGAGGCAGAGAGGAGGAGGTGCATTCAGTCTGCATTCACAGCTCTCTCCCCTCTAAGAATAAATGGGATCCGTAGGAACCATGCTGCCAAAGCTCAGGCAGGAGCAAAGGAGGAGGAGTGAGTGCAGCCTCGTGGCCATGGTTGCCCTTCAAGGTACTCTGCTCTAAGCAACTTGAGATGACAGTGTAGCTTCCCTGCTGTTTCCACATTAACTGCTGACCCAAGAGGCTGGCTCTCATGAAAGACAGTGGGAGTGCAACTTGGAAATTAAGTGCTGTTGTGGACACAATCTGGCCACTTTTTTATCACATCCAATATACCTGTAGCCCATCCCTACAAAGGCATGTCTGTATTACAACCTCAGTTAATTGTCCCTTGGATCCACACTGTTTTATTTACTTTTGCTACTAAATAACAATTTTGAAGTTCTTTTGATCTTTTGTTACTTTTTCACAGGATATACTCTCTCTGTAGCAGTTTTTTGGGCAAACACCTGGCTACAGCCAGGTTCATTAGCATCTTCGCTGTTTTCTTAATCTGTGATCTTGTAGTTTCTCAAGGATGGGCTGACATAATACCTCAGGACTCGGTTGAAAATCCACCTATGAATTCACAGGTACCTTGGGCATAGAAGGAGTTTGTATTTCCATACAGAGAAGAAAAAGTGAAACGAGGGATGTGTTTCACACCTGGGGGGTGCAGATAACAACAGCAAATTCCCGGTGTGATTTTTAATGTTCTTAAAAACAAAGCCTGCTGTACTGTTCAGCTACCATCTACCTGGATTTCCATAGGTGAGAAATGTGGTGAAACAGAGTTAATTCTAAAATGTCTTAGTTGACAAATAAGTTAATTTTATTATTCATGGGAAAAAAAAGACATAAGCCAGTTGACATTGGCCAACGAATGAAGCAAACCAGCAGCCAGAGGCCATCTTGCCTTGCCCCATTGCTGGCTTTCATGCTCCCTTAGTGTTCTGTCTGTACACTTGACAGCAGTGACATGGAAGGGGAAAAATAATTACAGAATTCCATAGTGGACATCTGCATAAACTACTTCCAGGTCAGCTTCAGAATACAACAGCATGGCTGTTATACAGTGGAGAAAATTAAAGACGAAAGATTCAGTTTAGGAGTCAAAGTCCTGTTGTAAAGATCAGAAAGCAAAAGGTGGTAGAAAGTTCAAATTGGAAAGAGGATTTTAATGCATATGCAGGGATTGGACTAATTTGGTACTCTGTCAGTAACTTTTAGTTGTTTGGGCTGTAGTGTGATAGTCTTCCAAAGTGCTCCAAGTTGGTTGATATTGTTCCAGCTGAAGACAGGGTTAGAGTGCACTGTAATATTCATGCAGTCCTGGACTCTTCTGAATTCTTCAGTTCTGCACTGAACTCCATGCAAAAGGTGGTTAAATAAACAGAGTTTTATTTGTACTCTAGCAGTGTGTCTGGGAATAATTTGAGCATATCTGCTGAAAAATGTTCAGAGGTTCACAGGCAGAGGGACTCTGAAAACACCTAGTTAGGCAGTTAAAAAGCTGTGAATCATCTTGTTTGACAGAAAGAAATTCCAATTTTTTTTCTAAAATATGTTATTTGTATGGCTAGTTAGAGCTAGAGGGACAAATAAGCAGTAATTGTTGCCTTCCTCACAAAAACATGAGAGAAACAGAATGAACAGAAATAATTTAATGATGTTATTCTGTTTTCTAAATGATTGAGATTCAAACTGATACATGATTCCAGTGTGGTTTTGCATGATTTGAGTAGGAAGTGGCAGTACGACTTATTGGTTCTAAAGTGACTAATTGATTGTCTACCTTGCCAAGATGTTTGCCTTCCCACTTCATCCATGTTGAACTAAGAGTTGCTGTGGGAAGAAAGGATAGTTTTTCATGGTCACATACAACTCTTGTACTTGCTGCTCTTGCCATGTGTTCAGTGTCTTCTGGCCAGCCCTTTGTGGAAAGAAGACAATTTCTAGCCTATCTTGTCCATTCTGTGCTTTCATGTTCTTTGCTGTTGCAGTAGGGTTGGCCATAATTCTTAGCTCATCTGTGTGTTCATCCAGGCTGAAATCACTGAAATTACTTAGAGGGTAATTTCATAACACAGAAGAGAAATGTGGTTTAAAATGTAAATATGTGTTGGCCTTTCAGCATGCATTTGTTAATGCACAGAGCTGTGTTCACTGGCCTGATCCAGCGCTGGCTGGGGTCACGAGTATTTTGTTGTTGACCCCTGTGGAAGCCTGGTGAGGTCTGTCATGGGTGGTTTGCATGGGGACACACAGCAGAGCGTGCATTGGCTTGCTGCCAGAATGAGACTGAGGAAATATATGTGAAAGAATAGGATCTATTTTAAAAGATACGAAGGAAAAGAACAGGTGCTTCAAATCATATCCATCAGCAGGCAGATAATTTTTGTTCCCATGGTGTATTATTTCTCCTCCACTTTTTGTTTTCCTGTTCAGTCCCTAAATTGAGATTTTTCTGGGCAGGGACTTTGTGCTTACATGTATTTGTGTAGTGTCTGCAACAGTAGAGCTCTGATATCACATGGGACATGAGAATAATAGGTAGATTTGTGTATTTTAAATCAAGTCAACTGAAAGAGATAATTTCTTTTAAGTCAATGGTTGCATGTCAGAAGGGATGGTAATTTTCTATTAATATGCCTTATTGCAGAAGTTTTTTTGACCTGTGTATGTTAAGAGCTCATTCCCAAGCTTTTTAATTCCTCTGTATTATTTTATGCATGGAGATAAATTGTGTTGTTGTTGTTGACAGCAAAACAGTGAATGATATTTTTAACGACAGATCAGCAAGAATGTTAATATATGTTTTGGAACTGGGCTTGAAAAAAGTTTTTTTAGTTCTTCCTTCCCTACTCCTCTGCTTTCTGATAAAAACATGCAGGATATTTTCTCCTCATTTTCTCCCTTTGCCATATGGGAGACTGAAAACTTTTCTCCACCTTACCTGCTGTCACAGTTTGATGATGGGCTAAACACAGCTTTAAGATTGGTGGTGATAAGTTAAAAAAATAATGTCAGTTTGATGCAAAGTGCTGACTTGCTCTATGGCTCAAATTGTTTAAAAACACTGGTAGATTAATTCTGTACCAGCAGTCAGATCCATGACTGTCTCTTATCCTGCTGCTGACATACAGCAGGCATAAAAAGCACAAAGCCAGCATAAGCTCTGTATCATGTGCTAATTCAACAAAAATGAGATTGTGTTCCCAGGTCTGGCATGGGTCATTAGTGTGGCTGGATGTTGCTCATGGTGACATCTAAAAGGTCTTGCTGCCAGCTGTACCTTAAACTGAGCAAAGGGCTGACTGAGAGAGTTAAACAGAAGAAACAGGACTGAAGAGGACAATTTTTTGTGATAAGATGATGCCATAGAAAATAAGAACCTGGGCATATTGCATGTGCACTGAATGAAGTGCATCAATATGTGTAATACATGTTTCTTTTTAAAGTGGGTAATATTAGAGGCAACTTAGCCTAGAGTGGAATAGCATAGAGACTTGCTGACATATGCATGTTATTACCCGTTACTGTGGTTTTTCTTTTTAGAGGAAATATATCTATTTTGCAGTAAATGAGAAGAATTTGAAGTATTTTAAATGGCTGCTGCTGGTGTTTGTTTGTTTGTTTTTCCTGGAGGCAAATCTTGCAGTTCTCAACAAAAAACTTGTTCTTCTGCCTGTGTCTGTGAACAGAGCGAGCCTAGGTTGAGGCTAGTGATGAGGCAGAAGGTGTAACTTACTTTGATGCATGAGTTTTGGGAAAATCACAGCGTATGCAATTTCAGAAACTCCCAATACGGCACATGTATTTGAGTGTGTCACTGAGGGAGGAGTGTTGCAAGAAGCTTGACTGAAAAACCACAAGGTTTAAGGCTGATCTCCTATTAAACCCCAACAAAGTAAACCACAAGCCTTCATCTCTCCTCTCCTTCAAAACAAAACGAAAACCATCCGGCTTCTAAGTAATCAACAGGCTGGAGCTCAGCTTGTGGCTGAGAACAGCTGTGCAGAAATGGAGGCTGTGCATAATTATTTAGTGTAACATTCTGGTACATCTCTGCCCATTTTGTATCATTTGGCTACTCTGTTATCAAGGCCAAAGACTTGTTAAGCCCTTAAAGAAGCACGAAGTATGTACCAGCTGCAGAAGGTGGGAGAGGCCAGATGGGTATTGTTTGGGTGGGAGGAAGTTCCTGTGTTGTGTGTTAGGAGACCATGTGAGGGGTGCTTTCAAACAGGGTGGGTAAAATTCATCTTTGAGGAGTAGCTTGGGCACTGTTGATTCTGCCTTGAGGCAGGGGAATCAGCTAGTTAACATGTCTGGATCTCTTCTGTCCCTGTTCATCTTTGCTTCAAGTGTGCTTTTGTCATTGGTTTGGGTCTAACAGAGTGCTTAATTTTTTTCCAGGTTATGTGGGCTACTTAGCAGTCAAAAAGATGGCTGTAGCTTCTACCAGCACTTCCTTTGGAAAAGGCACCATATCTAAACCAAAGTGAGGAACTTGCTGATATTTCATGTCAAAAGAGAGCAGCTTATCTGTCTTCATTAGTAAATTTCTCTGTTAGTGCTTTTCTCTTCAAGGTTGTGCTGGGACCTTTATAGAAGCATCTTTCAGATTATATCCTAGGACTCAAATGGTCACGGAATGCTTTTTTCTTCACTCTTTTGACATCCTCTGCATTTCTGAAAAAGCTGCTTCACACTGAGAAAGTACCTACAGGTAGTTGGTGCCTAAAGCTGATGTGTTTTGGAGAACCTACCATGGTGTATTTCCCACGTGCGGTCAGCGTCTTGTCCACAGGTTCAGAGGCTGAAGAGTGCAAAAGAGTGAGGTTCTCAGGGTGCTGCTGGAGTTTGGTAGTGTAAATGAGCAGAGGACTGGCTCTTCTCCAAGCAACTCTGCGTGTCCACTTAATTTTTATAAAAGTGCGTGTATAGGCTTTTGGGCAATATGTAATACTAAATATGACCCTATCATTTGTCTCCAGTCTGTACATGGAATTCTGCTTGCCTTGTTACTCTGAATAGAAAAAACTTTAATCATACTCAGTTGCTTCTTCTCTCAAGTCATTAAATAGGGGGAAAACCACCCTATTTTTACTTTGAATGTTATTAGCTATACCATTAGAAAGCTAATGCTTCTAGAGAAAAGTTCAGGTTTTTTCTCATATCTTTTTTTTCAGTTTTTTATTCCTTTCTTGTGTGTAGATGCTGTTTCATTGTGTGCTGAATCCCATTGCATTCAATTCCATTAGGGTACATGCTTTCTTAAACAAGTCCATTACAGTGCTTACTGCAATCTGTCAACAAGAAATGCCTAGTGGACATTATAAAAATATCACTGAACATTAGAAAGGCATGTTTAAAACTGTTTCCGTGTTATTAAGGTTTTGAGTATGGTTGATTTGCGTTTATTTAGAATTTCCCTACTGCTTTTTTTGCATCTTTTGTTTAGAAGTGTTCTAAGTTGCAGCTAAGTTGCAGCAAAGGTCATTAAAACTGTATGGCTGCCACTATTCTTGTCTGAGCACAAGTAAAATATAAAGATTTTCTGAAGCGAGACTTCTGAACAGTGAAAAAATAATGGTTAAATTGTAGTGGCTGGTAGCAGCTGACATAGAGGAAAATAGCCCCATTATTACTGGAAATACTTGGCTATTTGCATTTACTTCGATGTGTTGGGTCTTGCATTGTGGGAACAAATAAGCCATTATTTTACCTGAGCACATAAATATTTTTCATGGAGCAAGTAAATACAAATGCGGTGTTTGTTTATACCATTACATTTACAGATAATGTAAATTTTCATGGTAAAAGTTTGGGAAAATAGAATTATCCAGGCTGTGTATGCAAGAATAGAGAACAATTGTTGAAATGTGAGTGTTAGGCAGCATGGTGGCCTGGATCTGGAAGCCCACTAAAGGTCTTTTCGTACTGCCCTTGTTTTGCTGGGGCAGGTTGCTGGTGAAGAAGATGGTGTTATCTAAATGATTCTGAAGTGGAAGAAACTTAGTTTAGGTTAATGGCCAATAATTAAGGCATGGGCTGTCTTGCTTTAGAGTAGTGATCAAGCACATTGGAAGTGCCATGGTCATCTCTTCAGCTCCTCCTGCCTGCCTGGATGCCGCCATGCTTCAGCCATGAGGGATTGCTACCTACCTATCCCTCTTCTCCTCATGAAGAGTCAGTCCCTTACTGGGATGCAGAATAGGGTCAGACTGGGTGGAGACAGGAGCTCTTGTCCCAGGGCTTTGGGGAGTCAAGTCTTTTCTGCTCCCCACCCAGGATGTGAGGTTCAGGAGACCCTGCTGCTGTGTGCTGAACACTGTCAGCTCTCAAGTGCTCTGGAGAAACCAAGAAAAAATATATCTGAAAACCTGTTTTGTTACATTAAAAGAGCTCATAGACCTATAAATTCTGTTAAAAATACAAACCTTGCTAGTCTCCTCCCTGGTGCAGTACCAGGGCAGTGTTTTCACTGGTAATAAAAGGTATAATTTACTTTATGGATCACAGAGAGGTAAATACTAACTCTTGCTCAGCCATGGGTTTAATGTTTTTAGAGTTGGTTCAGCGGCTCTCTTAATGCTGCCGTAGCTGCAGCCTCCTCTCCCTAATCCTCCAACAGCAAAGTCCTCTGGGTCCATGCTCTCCCAGCTGCCTTGTATTCAGTCCACTTGACCAGTTTTCCAAAGTCACCTGTGTGACTTATCTGGTTTGAGTTTTGGTACCTAGAGGATAACTGTTAAGCCTAAATTTTGTATTTAGAAATGCAGAAGAAATATGCCAGTTGGGATGTGTTTCCAGCTTCAGTGTCTGGAACAAACTCAGAATAAACATCACTGTAGAAGGACAGCGTTCCCGTTTCAGATAGTGTGTATATTGTAATTTATTTCTGTTGGTTTTGCTGTTTTGAACTGATACGTGAATTAGGGTTTAATTACATACTTTTAAATGCCAATAGCCATAATTTTAGTTTCTTCATGCTTTTTTATTAAAATTACCTGCGAATGCCAGAGTTTTTTGCAGACCAAAGTAGCCATCCACATTATTACTCAACAGACCAAAAGGGTTATTTGCAACTAACATAAAAAGATTTTTAAGAAGATGATGAATTAATAACAACAACAACAACAACAACAATAATAATAATAATAATAATATATTCTGGTTACAATAGTGCAAAACCCAAAGAGAAATACGAGAAAACACTTAGCAATTATAATAACACTTCAGGCTACTAAAAAAGAGGTGCATTATCAGTTTCTGGGGATGACAGGTATGTTTGCTCTTGATATTGAACTCATAATGTTGTTTACACCTGTTCTTATGGAGACAATCCTATCTGAGGAAGATTCTGTGCTGGAAACTAGCCTTTGTCTCTTCACCCCAGTTCATTAGACTCACTTATATTTAAGAGGAAAACAAATGCAGGATTCACATTGTTATGAGTGACGAGAATGACGTCCTTGGGGAAGGCAGGCTAAGATGTGATGTTGGGGGGGTGGCAACAGTCACACTGAAGTGAAGTGTGTGTTTGCCATATAATGAATAAGGCAAGGACTGTAAGGACTGTCAGGGACATAAGTGGGTGTAGTGGGTTTCTGTGTCTGGGTTTTGGTAGTAGGGGGGCTACTGGCGTGGCTTCTGTTAGAAGCTTCTAGAAGCTTCCTTGAGCTGGTAGAGCCAATGCCAGTCAGCTCCAGGATGGACTTCCTGCCGCTGGCCAAGGCCAAGCCAATTAGGAGTGATAGTAATGGTTCTGTGATAATATATTTAAGAACAGAAGGTTTTTGTGCAGATGAAAATTCCAGCCAGGGAAGAGCACAGTGAGAACATGGGAACAACAACGCAGACACCAAGGTCAGTGCAGAAGGTGGGGGAGGAGGTGCTCCAGCCTCTGGAGCTGAGGCCCTGCAGCCCGTACAGCTTGATCTACATTTCCTCCCTCAGACTTGTCAGACATTTGTTATTGTTTGCTGCTTCTCAGATCCCTTTCCTGTTCCTTTTTGAAGCTATTGTATGACAGATTTTTCTTGGCTGGTTGCTTTCTATTTACTATAAAGAAACCCATAAACAGACATCTGGGAACTAGTATTCTTTGAAAGCAGCATATTCATTTGTAGAATTACATTGGTGCTTTTGTTTTGCAAACCGAGTCCAAGATCATTTAAAGCACTTTTGAATTTTTTATTTTTTTAAAACAAAACTTGCTTTAATATTTGGGTTCACTGACTGAATTATTGTGATGCATTTTAAATAAAAAGTCAGTTACATTTTTGTGGGTCAGGATGAAGGGAATTAGTTGAAAGACATTATTTAAAATGCAGTTTTTAAAATCAACCTTTGCTTGAGCAGGCATAAAACCAGCATTACTTTCTAAGTGGAAGTAGAAAACTGCAGGTTTGTCATTGTATCATAACCTCTCTGTAGTAGAGTTATAAAGGTTATAATAAACTTGCATCTGAACTGGACGTCAGTGGATTTGTTGAAGATGAGAAATTTAGTAGATGTTTCTCAATGCAGTCTCCTTTTTCAGGGACAGGTGACTATACATGCAAAATTTGACAAAAACATTTACCTCCCAGAGGACGCTGAATTTTACTTTGTTTATGGCGGATCCCTGAAAAGATACATAATGTTTGCTGAGCGATTAGTGACAATGCTCTTCAGTCCATAGTTCCAGGTGAGCCTCAACTCCTGTTTACATTTTCCAACTCTTTCCTAAACTCAAACCCCCTTTCAAAGCTGCACATAACCGGACGATTTGGTATAACTCTTTTATGGCTCTGTATTGGAGAAAATGCAGGAGTTCGAATGATGGCCTTTGGGATCCAGGGGTGATCCTGCCTGATGGCCTTTGACCAACCAGGGGTGATCCTGCCTTTTGTAGCAATCCACGCGAGTGCAGTATCAGATGTAGACAATGTTACTGGACTTGCATATTTAGCTATGCATTAAAGTGCAGTCTTCAGGGGTGGCATAATTTTTAATGCGTTAATTCTATGCTGTACCTGTTTGCCTGTGGGCATCCTAACACCTGCAAAAGTCCTGTTTTTCCTGAGCCTTCTCTCAGTGTAGCAGTCAGTCTGGCTTGCAAGATCCTTCTGCTGGAGGCTTGCAATGCTTGGAGCTCTGCTGGAGCTGGACATGGTACAGAGGTGTCTGCGAAACCATTCCAGGGCGCCTCACTGCAAACAGGGGGATATGTGTTGCTTCTCAGTTGGCTTTATGCCTTGACATTGTCTGCTTCACGGATGTAACATAAACCCTACTTGTCACCTCTGTTGTGTGCTTTGTGACCTTTTCATTTGTGTGAGTAGGTGGCTACAGATGTGATGTACCTGTGCAATAGGATCTTCTTGTTATTTGTTCGTGTGTTCTAAAGGGGATTTAGAGTATGAAAATAAGAGCAGAGTATAAAAAAGGAAAGTTCATCACCATTACGTGGTGGCTTCTTTAATCCTGTAAATGGTAAATGATTGTCATGGATTACAACTGGAGAAAAGGCAATGCTAGGCTCGTTCCAAGGCTTTTTAAATTTTTTTTTAAAGTGCCTGAAATGACATTGTTGAATGGTTGCTTCTGGGCTAGTAATAAAAACAGAGGGCTGCAGGCAACACTTAATCATGGCAGAAGGCATGAACAGATGAAAATAAAATGTGAGGTTAAAATATAACCTGCTGATGTTAGTATTACTTTGTGGTGGCCAAATTAAACATAAGGGACCACAGAGCACTTTAAAAACAATTGCAGTTGTGGTAAGTACTGCTTCTTTCTGCAGTTATTAGATTGCACATATACTTGTAGTTATACAAGGGGTATACAGGAGTATGTTGGAAAATATAGATTTGTACCCTTAGTACATTATGGTTAGCTCTCTAGTGAGACGTACAGCTTGCACCTTTTTTAGATATATGACATCCACCCTCCCTTAGATGTCAAAGCAGTAGGAGGGAAATACAAAGTCCTGAAGAGGTTTGAGAGACAAACTCCCTCGGACTTTAAGGGTCCCAGCTGTAAGTTAGAGAGTTGATACAACATTTAATCAAGTCTGCCAAGAGCCTGAAACATGCATTAGTTAAAAGCTTTTGGGTTTTGGCCTGGATAGGTACAAAAAAGGATGTTAATAGATATTTTACTTAGAGTTCATGTTGCAGGCCACTCCCCCACTCTTCTCATGAGCATCATATTTTTCCTGATGCTTATCCAAGAACCTTCAGTTCCTTCTGTTGTAGTTAAAGAATGCTCACCTAAAAAGACTGGTTCTAGAATTAATCATGTTGGTATAATTTAGAGGAATGGCATTTCACAGTCTAGTTGAGTCCAAGTTCATTGCTAGAAATGGTTGGTGGATGTCCTATGACAAATAAATGTAATGAGAGGAAAGAATAAAATAATTCTGAATGAGCAGTCACAGCTCTTAGAAGTGAAGTGGAATAAAAAACAACATGTCTTTTCTGAACATAGTGATTTCTGAACATTAGTGATTAATTTAAATTAAAATTACAGGCCATGGATGCCAAGAAGCAGTTTCTGTCTCTATTAATGTACACAGGGAGTTACTCACCTCTGGTACTCAGCAGCTGTCCCATCACTTACAGAGAGAATCTGTCTTGCAAGTTGTCTTGCTTTCTGGTCAGTCATGCAGAATGTCTCACTGCCACTAATCAAAAGCTGTTGCTGGATAAATTTGGGCTAAGGATGAAAGATCTGCAGTTGCTGGATGGCCATTGCTTATGAAGAATTGCCATTGACCTGGAACACCCTTGGACACTGCCCAGAAGGTGGTAGGGTTTTATTTTAAGTCAGAAAGCTTTTAACAGTGGTTTGGTGCACAGTTCAGGGCAGAGTATCTCACTGTTTTATCCGTGTTCTCAATCCTTGTGCTTTATTTTTTGGTTAACATGAAAAAATTGTTCAGATGTGAGAGGGGTAATCAGAGATTTGGTTTGTGCCTAGAGAGTTAAAAAGGATAATAATGGTTATTGTAACTCTGTCTCTCCAGGAAGTTTTTCTGCCTTGACTATCTGTGAATGTAGTTCTTTATTTATAAATGGACTCTGCCTTTGAAAGGTTAAAGAGCTTTAAAAGCTTTAAAGGGCTGCTTAAAAAAAGCAAAAGCTGTAACAGTGAAGTTTTGCTGCTGTGATTCTAACCAAGTGAGATATTTTATCTACACAGACAAAAAGGAAGTGGTAATAAAAGAGAAGACTATGTTACTGTAGGCATTCTGATATACAGAGTAAATGTAATTTTTGTCACTGTTTTGTTAATGTTTATGCTTTATTTATGACTATGATCATTCTTTGGGGAGCATATCATTAAACAAGGTTTTTTTGTGGCTTTTTTTTATTGTAGAAGAATGGGGTGAAAATATATGTGAAACTTTACATTAGGGTATGCTTTTGAAATTTTTGTAAGAAAACCACGTGAAATTTTCCAAGTTTCAGGTTTCATCGCAAACAAAAAGCTGTAGTTATGGTTTGCTTAAGAGTATAATTTTTTTTGCAGACCCAGCTGATTTATAGCTGAGATTGGAAACTTGATGGCTTCACATGTTTTTCATTGAATATTTGGTGCTTTTAGCTGCTTTCCTTTTAGTATTTTAAATTGCTAAAAATTGGAAGACAGGCTGCTTCCATATGAGCCAAACAGGAATAGATATTCATGCAAGCTTTTGGGAAGTAAAAACACAGCACTTAGCCCATTTCTTTGGGTGAGCACTTTTTTTCTGTCTTAAATATTTCTAATTCTTAATGGCATATAGCTTGAAATCTGAAGGATGCTTTTTGTCTGTCTGTTGTAAACCATTCTTTAAACAGATGTGAAAACAAGTACCAAGTCTCATTCAAATATTGTTTAGACAGGAGAGAAAAAAATAAAAGGCCATTACTTGTTTCATTTTGATGTGTAGTAAATATTTGTTCACATTTAGTCAACTTCTGGAACAAGTGTTGGATCTTAGGAATGAGTACCTTAAGTCAAAGCCTGAAGAACTCAGCTGTAGTTTTGTTCACAAGCTTGGCTAAGTTCTTCATCAAAACCAGTTGAAACCCAACCCAGGTGTGGTAATGAGAGATGCTTGGGCATAACCAGCTGGGTACCTTCTTGCTTGAAACACAGGCAAGAGTTATCCTCGGTGTGTTGTGAGTGCAGAGAGTCAGAGCGCATCTCAGCTGGTACCAGAGTAAGCTCTGCCAAGGCAGCTGCTATCCACATAGCAAAATTCTCTAATTTTTAGTTATGCTAATTGTTAATTTTCAGGTTTATAACAACATTTTTATGGAAAAAGAGTATGTTGCCCTTGTGAGACTTTTACAGGTCTTGTATTTTTTTGTTTCCATGTATTTTTCATACTTTTTCACTTTTCAGATTTAAATATATATATATAATATATATTACATTATATATATTTTTATATATATACATACATAAACAAAATTTGAACACAGTGAAAAAGCTGAGATGTGTGCCCCAGTTACAATACAGAGCCTCTCTGAACATTTGAAGTGTTAGATGAGCATGTCTTCAGCATGCTGCATTGGGTTTGCCTCATGGGCACTGTTGCACTTGAAGAGATGACATCTCCTTTTGTACATTGCTGTTAAATTAATGCTATTAAATGAAGGTGCAGTCTTTTGCCTTCTCTCTGAATAAAACAAAACCTGATCTGAATTCGTGGGGCCTGGAAGCCAGCTTTGCCACTATTTAGTTATTTTCAAGAGGAAGACTGCTCTTTTAGGTTTTTGGCTATTAATAGAAGCAATACAATTAGAACCTGAGTTATGAAAACAAATTGTGGATCTCAGGGAAGGGAACAGTGTCTGTACATGTTTAGTTCCCTCTAATGAACAAGGAGATCTTCCATTTTATTTCATAAATGCATTGTAATTGTTTTCTGGGAATAGATCTTGTGGGGTGAACTGAAATACTCAAAGTTGCTGCTTTATAGTCTGCCTTTGGAGGAAACCTTCCCTTTTTCTATGGCATTTTTCACTTTATAGCCCTCTCCCTGTCCTTTTCGTTGTAAATCGCATTACTCTTTCCACTTGGTGTTAACACATTCCTGCTAAGGTACATAAGTTCAAACCTGACTGATGCATGTTTTTGATGTAAATTAAAGAAAATTCTGTCTGTCTTTTCCTTACTGAGAATTTTAGATTCCTTTTTATTCCTGTGGAAGGAAAGGGAGAGGACTGCCTGTTCTCCTTCATGGAATTAGGAAAACAGTGGGAACAGTGGATAAGTATATATAGGTCTGGTAAGATTTGTGAGGAGAGGTAATTGTTTTGTGGTCAGAATGCTCAGGGAGTTAGAGAAACAGACAAATCTTTGGCCCAGTATGAATTTGCCCTTTTGGAAGCTGTGCATGGTAGACAGAGCAGGATGCTAGCCTGTGCATTGGGAAGTAGATGAATGTCTTTCAATGCTTGCTGCTGACCCAGGAAACTGTGACATGGGGTAAGATATTGGCAAGCATGTTTCAACCTGTGGGTCCCCAGCGAGTGTATGATTCTCGTCTCCTGGTCAATGGTAGTAACAGCAGAGAGGAGGCATTTGAAGTTCCTCTGACCACAAAGGGGCTTTTTGGGAAAAGCGCTGAGCACTTGGAGATGATCAGAGTGTTGAGAGCAAGTACTGTAAGAGATACAAGAGATAAAGTTTCCTATTTAAGACCATATATAAGTAGTGGACTCAGAAGCTGGCTCTGTTGCTCAAGAGACCAGATATGAAGCTGTGGTCTGACCCAGCCTCAACTTTCAATCGGCACTAGGTTGGAGAAGCCTGCTTTTCTAGCTGAAAGGGTGTCCCCACCTGGCATTGGGTGGTGCTCAGTAAACAAGTGCTTAAACCAGACTGCTGGAGAGAGCATTTGGCTGCAGTACTAAAGAATGAGGAATACCCCTCCAGAAAGAGTATGCTGTGGTGTTTTGCATCTTTGTTGGGGTCAGTAAGCAGCAGAGTCAATCGAAACTTCACATGATAGTGTAGGTGGGGCACCACAGGCAGCCTTTCCTGTGTGGAGCTGGTGGATGGGAACCTTTTCTAACCCTCCTGCTGCTAGAACCGCTGGAGCAAAACTCCTTTAAGCCCACCTTTGTGATGGAGCTTAATCTTCCCTCATCTCCTTTTCTTCTGTAGATTGATGCCAGCCTTTGAGCGTTCACACAGGTGTGCTCTCAGATGGGCTGTCACATACCTGACTTCACGTGTCGAAGTGGGGTGTACCGAAGACAGCTTTAAAAATAATCTCATAGCTAAGGGAAAAATGGAAAAATTAGCAGTAATGCATAAAAGTATGAAGCCAGAAAAAAATGGAATTTTTCAGCCAGCTTTGATGTCTCCCCCTGCTTGTCAAGCCTTGAGGTTTTTAGTCTGCCTCCAGGAAATTAATGAGATTCAGAGCCTGGAACAGGCTTAGTCATTTCTGTCAGAGAGAAATACTTGGTTTTAGTTTATTTTTTTGGACATAGGAAGGGATTCAGGTGCAATGAAGAACAAAAGGATTCTTTTAATGTTTAAAACAGACTGAGTTTGGCTCAGCTCTGTGTAACTCAAATAGAATGTTTTGGCTGGAGAACTGGGATACAATGCAAAACAACATCTTGATAGTGCAATTTACAGCACCACCTGCCTTGCAGTAGTCAGCCTTGTATGAATCAGCCAGCAGCACTGGCTTTCAAATCTTAAGAATTGTTGGTTTTGTGTATTGATGAAAAATGGCATTTTATACCATATGAATATGCTGTAGAAGCCTTGTGTTTTCCTTTTTTTCCTTATTCTGTTCCAGCTTTGCAAGAGTGCAGTTAAATTAATTACATTGGATTTTTTCCACTATTGGGGGTGGTGTTGTCTATTTCTTGACGGTTTTCTTTCTTTTTGTTAGTTTTTTTTGTTTGGATTCCCCCTCCACCCCCCCGCCGTTGTGCCACATTTGAAATCTTCCTCAAGGGAATGGAAAAATAAAGTGAAAAGTGTGGGGAAAATGCCATTTATTCTGTCACAGTGAGGAGCTATAAGAGGAGGTGATAAAAGAACTGAAACTAGAAAATGTTTTTAAGAAAAAAAGTTGCTAAACCCCTGTTATTTCCAAACTTTACCATTCTTTAATGCAAATCTTTTCTTTATAGGCAGATCTATTTAAAAAGCTTATTATCAATATCCTGTCTTTTTTGTTCTTTTACTTTGATATTGCTGATCCTGGAATACAACTGCAGCAGATTTTGGGTGAAGGGATCCCTGGTCTTATCCTCCACTTAGAGCAGGGCTTGCTTCAAGGTTGTATCAGGTTGCTTAGGATCATGTTTTGAACAATTCCACAGACAGACAGTTTGTAACCTACCTGGGTCACCTGTCCCAGCATTTGACCATCCTTGTGGTAAAAAATAGTTTGCTTGTGTTGAAAGAACATGTTTACTTTTCCATTTAGACTTCTGACTTCACAATTTGTATTTCAGATTTTAGTATCATGAAGCTATTAGTTATCGCTTTATGTCATCAGGTTCTGCTCACTCTTGGGTAAGCCATGTGGGAGTAGTAAGAAGAGGGTAGCCCAGCAAACACATCATCTAGAGAAGTAAAGTGTGGGGAGGAGTGTGAGTGCTGTTTTTAAGTTCACTAGAGGTGAAAGCAGCCAGTGAAGCTTCTTGGTGGTTTCACTACTATGTGTGTTCATCTGGTCATAAACAAATCTAGTATAAAGTTAGATGAAGGTTGTTAGAGTGGGCAGATAAAAATCAGTTACTAGACTATTTGTGGTGAGATAATAGAAATTATTGTTGTAGATGGTGTTTTCAAATGACAAAGATTAATTACTATAATTTTTAAAACTCATTTCTTTGTAGCAGGCTTATTCATACTGCCACCAGATTTGGCCACCAGAAGGGTAACTTTATCTGTTGCAATGTCAGAGCAGAGGGAAGGCTATCCCTCATCAGGGAAGGCTTCCTACAGGCTCTGTTTTTGCTGAGTGAGAAAGTCCTAATCTTATCATGCTCAGAGCAAGCTTACCTGGCTTTTTTTTGTGATGTTACAATATACGTTGAAACCCAGTGGCCCCAGGCCAAAGTTGAGAGTAAAGTTTGCCTTTTTGTTTCTGTGTTTTTAATCCAAGTATCTGCTCAGATGTTTAGTGTGTTTGATATTGGTTGATGTTTGAAGTAGATTAATTTATCTGCTGTCTCATCATTGACAATATATATATATAAATATATAGTTAATATATAGTTGGAAGCATCTAAAGAGCCCACTTTGGTGTCTAAAGTTGGACTTCAGCAGAATTTAAGTACTCCAGATCAAAGAGCAATCCTGAAATATTTTTTTTAGTGAACATTTTAATCTTTGAATGCATAATGTTTGCTCAGGGTCTTGGTTCTGGATCACAGCATTTCCTGTGTATTTCAGCTCCCTAGTGTACATATAAATGCATGCTAGGGAGTGCTAGTGACTTTCATCACTGGCTGGTGCTCTGCTGGGGTCCAGACTGGTGGCATAGAGTTGAGCCTGCTACAGTCCTTGTGAGGGATAGTCTCTGAAGTACAGAAATAGCACTGGGGCCAGTGCAAATCACAAATGGTGTTATCAGTCTCTATTCAGAAATATAGCTTGGGAAAGGGAAGACACTAACAAACATTTTCATACTGTAACTGAATGTTACGTCATTCTCTGAGCAAGTGAGACATCCAGGCATTGAGCATCCTTTTTCACTTCTGATGTGTGTCATGAGAAAGGTATCCATGTCTAAACAGCAGAGGCTTCTCATAGCTGATTGATTGTAGTCAGTCTGCTGCTTTCTTGGTCTTCTGCTTTGCATCCCTTGGATTTCCCTCTGCACCATAACCCATTTTCAATTACTCTGCAACAGAGGGGCCAGGGTATGCTTCCACTGGAGGAATGATCAGAGGAAATTTGAAGTTGTGTGTGTTCAAATCCCATCTAGCTGAGGAGGAAGTTGTACTGAGGGCTCCCATTTTTTAAGTGGCACATCAGCCACATGTTTTGGGAAGCCTGAGCCCTGTTCATTTAAATGTTCTTCCATAGAAGAAGGTCTCAGATCCAGGCACATCAGGATGTTTGATGTGTAGTGCTTCGCTGGGCTTTGAAGCTGTGAGTTGGAGTCAAATCCTCTGGGTTGAATTTGTTCAAGGGCAGGTTGGATAGTGCTTTAAGTAAACCTCATCTAGTGGAAGGTGTTCCTGTCCTTGGCAGGGTCTTTGGACTAAGTGGTCCTTGAAGGTTCCTTTTGACCCAAGGCTTTCTGTAGTTCCATTTAGCAAAGCATTCTGCAAAGGCTTGAGTTGGATTCAGTGGACTTTAAGGTTGCACATGCTTGAAAAGTTTGAAACATAATGCTGTCTCGTTTAATAGTGGTGTAAACACTATAGTTCATATTAAAGTTGGTAACTAAAATATAGCAATGATCATTGACTCCAAAAACTGAAATCAGAAATATTCTGTAGACCTTGGAGGGAAAAACCCCTGTGGCCCTGGATCATATGCCCAGTTGGATGTATTTTTGCCTAGAACATGAAATGGGAAGACCGAGAAAAAATTTTATTGCCCAAAACCTGGGGAGAAAATTGTTGCATAGGCAGGCTAATGCACCAGGTCACATGTTGGCTAGCCACAAGTAAGAATGAGTTTGAACGTGATTTTTTTTATAAATAATGACATAACATTTTGTATGTGTGTTCTAGAAATACTCAGGTACATTTTCTGTATATGTTTAGGGATATTCTGGTTTAAAGAATTTTTCCTGCATCTAAATGTTAATGTTCTGTTTCTGTTAGAACTGCAGTGAAAAATGGGTTTCAGATAATACATGCCGGTTTGCTGGCTGTTACAGTTCTGTTAGAGTCCGTGTCCTGAAGCTCCCTTTTACTCTGATGTCTGGATTTTGTTTTGTTTATTGGAGGAAGTGTGGCCTGGTTTTCTGGGATTTGACTATCTGAAACTTTTAATTACGCTTAAAATAGAAGGTAAAACATCTGGATGGCTGTCATCAAATACTCAGAGCAAAAACTTTATCACCAGTGGAGATCCTACAGTAATTTTCTCTGGGGAGTGGTAGAGCAAATTCCTCAGGTTCCTTGCCATTCTGGCTTTATGCGATGCGGAGATAAAGGATTCTTTTGAATATAATAACACAAATCCAGCATTTTCAAAAAGGGGTTGATGACTTTCCCCCTGCCCTCAGAAAGGTCTTTGCAGAAAGCAGCTCTCCTGTTAAGATGTTAAGAGGATGTACTCAGCTGAGACATGACAGCAGCCTTCAATTACATGAAAAGAAACTGTGAAGGGAAAGAAATGAAGTATCTTTCATTCAAATGGGAAAAGAAGCAGCAGGCTTATACTGAGAAAGGGTGAGCTAGATGATTGTTGTTATGGTGAGGGTAAAATTTTCCCTGGTGAATATTGCCCAAGGAAGTTATGTTGGAAGGTGTTTAGAAGAGATGAGACAAAAATTAGGCTAAAGGCAAAGAATGGACTAAAGACCACTTGAGGATTCTTCAGGATTTTTTAAAAAATTAAATATACCTGACACTTTCAGAGGGAGTACTTAAACTGAATAGGAGTCTGCTGTAAGCTACTATATTTGAGTGTAAGTAGATGACAGCTTTGCTCAGTGTATAAGTGTTTCTGAAAAAAATGCTTATTGGCTTTTTGACTGCATAACTAGTCTCTCTGCTAGGGGATTGCATTCTGTCAGACAGTTTATCTTGTAAATATTGATGTAGAGAGGAAATTTGGCAACAATTTTGCTGTTGACTTCAATTCTTATTATTTACACCAATGTGTGCACATACCTACATATGCTTCGTGAGCTTCACCTTGCCATTGCCTCTGGAGTGTATAATTTTCAATTACTTCTTCTGAAGTGGTTGGTTACAAGGGAAGAAGAAGTCTGTTGAATAGGGATCATAAATTTCAATGAAATTTCATTAATAACTGGAAGCCTAGCAGATTTCAGATGATTGTTCTAAGAGCTGTAGGGTAACTCCCCTTAAATACTTGACCTTGTGGAAGCACTCTCATATTTAATTTTATACTAAAATATCAGTGTATAGAACAGGTTGAGTGGCACTTGAGAATATTTTATTTATCACTTTTAAATTGCAGAGACTTTTTGTTTGAGAATATATGTAGACAGATAAATCTTTCTTTGAATAAAGGCCAGGGAATGGCTTGAATGGTGATTCATGATCTAGTGATTAAGTAATTGTTGTATATCTTATTTTAAGCTTCATCCCATTGCACTTCATGATTATTTGCTGAGAAGAGAGGAGAGGAATGATTGGCGCAGGAGGTCACCTTTTGGAGGGGAGAGAAACAAGAATTTTGTGGCATATTTTATGCATGTGGGCGTTAGCTCAGCTTATAGCTCTCTCTGCTCTTACCATCCTGATAAATAGCCTGCCTTTAAAAATCATACCACCTTTTTTTTCTTTTAAATTTTTTAATTTAGATACTTGGCTGTGTTGCCAGATGTTTTGTGTTGTTGAGACAATACAAAGCAGCAGGAAAATTGCCCCTTAACAGTCTTCTGCAGTATATTGGGGCATTTACTGGTGCTGAGTACTATACTATATATAAAGAAAGAAATAAATAATGGATTATCTAATTCAAACTGTTTTCTTTGACTGATGAAATTAGATGGTATTTGGATATCCTTTAGCTCCGCATACGCAATTAAGTATCTAACTGTTGATTTCAGTGAAAGACCAAAAGTGTTTCTGCTGAAGTAATTTTTTAAGTCTGAACCTGAGCTGTGATACTTCTGCGGATGATAACAAGTGTCTTTTAATGCCTCCTAGCAAATAAAATACTGGTTTTTGTTACTGATGATTTTGTTTTGCTTGCTGTGTTTTTTCAGAGTCTAAACATAAAGAAACTCTTCTCCAGCTTGTGATCAAATTGGGCTTGGTTAAGCTTTTGCTGTTCCTGGAAGCCCAGCCTGGAGGGTCATTGTCATTAGCATTATCTAGTGAGGAGGGAGCAACACCATTAGATTTGTCTTTTCAACATGAACACTCCAAACTAGTTGAGCCCTTCACAAAGTGAGTAAAATGGTTTGCTGCTTCCTCTGAAAATGTCCTGTCAGTTAAGGAATGTGGGTAATGCTGTTGTTTATCTTGAAAGAGTTGCCTATTTTGTGCTGGTTTCTGCTGCTTTTTGCCAGTATTATCATTTTAAGTGGTAAACTTGTATTTACAATTAAAGGAAGTTTGTTATTTGCATCTTTCATTACATTTGCAAGTCAATTAATAGTCAGTTAAATGACAGAGGACCAGCTGCACCATCAGGTACCTCTCCCAGAACTATTGCAGCTGAATCCTGATGCATTACAAACAAGAAAAGACATTCCTTAAAAAATATACATAGAATTCTGCTATAAGCAGAATCATAGGACCTGACTTTCATGAAATTTTGGCAGACTGCGATCTCTCTAAAGCTCAAGTTTGAACAAATAAAGGAGAGTCAGCAATAAAGACAGTGCTGCATTTATGACTGTTTTGCCAGAGAGCTGCCACACTGATAAATGACTTACAGGACAAGTGTTTTCTGGCACCTTTCAGCTGTCTGGAGTTCCGTCTGTACAGTCCTGAGGACCTGCACGGGGGGTGTGTGTGTATGTGTCTTGGGATACCAAATATTCAGCATCAGACACCCCTTCTCACTCTTGGCTTTTCTTTGCAAATAGATATACACAAAAATTGGGATACATTTTTACTCTAGTATATGGCTCTTTTGGTTCTGGCTCCATGCAGCCTACAGTTTATGTGAGGCTAATCTATACTTCAGTATGGTGCATTCTGTTATGACTGTCTCATTTGTTTGTAATGTCCAAACAATACCGTATTCCCTTGAGATACTTTGTTTTTCACTGTTATGGGATAACAAATCTGCTAGCTGCCAGTTGTGTCCTATGGCTATATATGGCAACATTTACAGGAAAAGGTACTATTGCTCACTTATAACAATCAGGAGAAATAGGTGTTGTCACAGCTTGCTCTTTCTGGCTCCTTTTACTAGTGAGTAACCATCTAGAGCTAATATTGTTTTTTCCCAGTTGTTAGCTAGAAGTAGCTGTGTGTTCTTAAGGCTCAGAGGAGTAATTGGTATTTGTTTTTCCAGCTGTGCTTTCAGTGAATGTTTCGGATTTTCTGCCTCTGGTTTTTGCAGTGGGTGTGTTGGGGTCCTGACGGGTTGTGCCGAAGGTGAGCAGGAAGCTCACTGGGGCCATGCTTTGCTTCTACCTGTGCACAGAGCACTTTAAAGAGTGATTCATTCCAGCTTCCAGGGCAGTCACTTGCTTGACATTGCAAGAGCAGAGATCTGCGATGGTGCCTGCGTGCAGTTTGTTCATGCACTGGGAGCTCTGATGCTGACATTTAGCCACACTGCACAGCACTTACTGGAGTTGCACATTAAGCTCTTCAGAAAATACTTCTGGGACAGACCTCCTCTTTACCAGGTACTATAGCTTTTCTTCATAATTTCCAGCTCTAAACTTTTCGGGCTGGATTTGTTTTTTCTCAAGTAGCCCTTTAGTTTAAGCTGCCCGTGTCACTAATCACCAGCATAATGGCATGATTAATGTTGTGGGCTTCTATTTTGTGTAAGTGTAGCACACTGTATGACTGAAGCTGGAGCATAAGAGATGTTGAAGCTTTGTCAAAGCCTCCTTTGCCTCCCAAGTTGTTTTTTAATTATGGTGGACTCTATGGTGAGTATCTTTCCCTGAAATCTCTATGTCTTCAATGGTATCACCATTGTATTCATTTTAATACTTTGAAATATTTAATTTAGTTCAATTTTTTTGTTTGGTACTGTAATGCTTGGGAACCTTGATCAAGAGCCAGCCCTGGTCTATTATTTACAGCAGAAATAGAGTATAGACTTTTGCTATAGTGTTTAGTTATGATATGGTTGGTCTTATTTCAGTGTAAACTGTCTGAAGCACTGTTATGATATCCTTCAGGACATCTCAATTTCAGTAAAATAAGGAGGAGAATGCTTGCATGTACAAGTTCTTTAATAGCAGTACAGAACTGAGATACAACTATATAAAACTAGTGAGCTAAAAACATACTAAAAGTTGGCTTTTTTCCTGGTCTTGAAATTCAGCTTTTCTTTTTCATGCTTTGCTTCAGGTTTCCTTGTTTGTGCACTGATTTTCTTGAGTTATCTTCATTGCATTCTGTATTTCTTTTTTTAAAATTAGAAAATGATTTGTATATAGTGTATAACAGAGAAACTTAATGTGTGGTATGTTGTATAGTCCTTATGTATAATCTTGTGTAACTAAATTGTCAAGAATTTGACTTGTTCCAATACAAAGAAGTTGTTCTGTGTAACTTGCAGAATCTCTACAACTGTGTGTGGCTTTTCCATTGAGACAATAGTAAACCCCAAAGGAAAATCAAGACTATAATCAAGAATGCATTCTTATTTTTATAACTGGATTTTTCTTGCACTCATAAAAATCTTCATTTTTCCTTCAGTCTGTGAAATGGGGAAAAAAAGTGTGGTATGTTAGATATTCTCAAAGACAAAGACTCTTAAAGGCTAAAAATTCTGCACCTGGTATTTTCAGGAAAAAACCTACTGCCGTGGATTTGTGAGTTCCCCTTTTGCTAATTCCTCTGGTCACAGCAGTCTAGATTCTGTTGTGGGGACCCTGCTCCCCTTCTGCTCAGCATCGGTGTTGCACCACTTTTAATAAAGCAGAAAGAAACCAAAATAATTGGGAAGATCACACGTTTATTTAGTCAATTTCTTATACACTAGATATCATCCTGGATTATATGTGAGATGATCAAACTGTCATGTTTAGACTATGTATTATGTCCTAAAGGAAAGGTAAAATTAATTTTATCTCTATTGTAAACAAGGGTTTTGAGCACTTTAGTTATATGCAAAGCACTGGTAGGGAATTAGAGATTTTTGGTGGGCATTAGAGATTTCACAATACATAGTGTTTTTAAAATAGAGGTAGAATTTATTGCTGTACTGGAGTATTTATCTCATCTACAGCAGACTAAGGCTGTATAACTGGTATCTTGAGACTGCATAAATGACCACATTGCTATTTTATGCTTGAGTCAGAGAGTCGTGAACTTAAGCGAAGGAGCTCGTCTCATTTATGGTGGCATGCAGCTGTGGATTTGTGTGAAATGGCTGACTTAGGGAGGAGCACAAAATATTTTTGCATTTATTCCTGCAATAAAATACTAATTTTTCTCAAGTGTGTTCTTCATTCTCTGCTCTGTGGGCTCTTTTAGTTCCTTGAGTATTCCTTAGAAGTCTAAAATGGTAATGGAAAAGTTAAAACAAGCAAACTGTCAGTAATCTGCATTCACCTATAGGGGAGCCATGCCTCCACTAAACAGTTCAGAAAGGGAAAACTAACAGGTTTTGTGGCTGTGCTAGGCAATACAGAAGAGAGATTTCTGAAGATGGTGAGGAACAACGTGAAATTACTTGAACTCTGTGTGACCTCCTTGGGGCAGAGATTGCTGTGGTGGTAGTGGTGCCCATCAGTGGGGCTGTGTGGTTCATTATGCCAACCCTGGAGACCTAGACAGGGTGTAAAGGTGATCCACTTGGCTGTCTCAGCTGCTGGGCAGCACAGCCAGTGCAGGGGAGAGGTCAGAGGAAGAGAGATCTGGAGGAGAGATCTGGGGACTGATGGACACCTTTGAAATGGTGTCAGAGTAATGAAAAAACCAGAAAGGTCAAACCAGGATAACAATCTGAAATTATTAAGATAATTTATGATAATTTAAGTAATTTTATTACATGGTGGTGAACAGAGTTAGTAGTTTCACAAGGAGGAGATGACTTCTGCCTGGTAGGCATGGGAATAGGAAACTGCCTAGCACACCAACAGATGAGCAGAGAAAAATGCAACTATCCCCACTGAGGTGGGGATCATAGATAGCTTGACAGCTTCATGGCTTTCAAATCAGTTTGGCTGCAATATTCAGCCCAGGGTCATCCCTGACTGCTTCTTTTCTGGTTAGATTACCACGTCTTTACTCTGCTACTCTTGGTAGGTGGCAGATACATAGGCAACGCGCACTAGGAGCAAGCGGAGCTGTAGAGGAAACCACACAAAAGGATACATTATTTCTTCCTGTTGCCTTACTTGTAATCTCCGAGGGTAATTGCTGAAATAAGAGTCTGGATCGTAGTCCCCAGTTTCTTTTGAGTAGCGGTGATATAGGCAGTGTGCATATGAGTGAGGGGGCAGACTGACCTGGGACCACAGACATGGGAAGAGAGTGGCTCCTGCCTTCCAGGCTGGGTTTACCATATAGCTAGTGTATAGACCTGGTTTATTCTCTTTATATTGCCTATCCATCAAAACTGCTTGAGGATGCTTTTGACATAAAGTAGACTTCTGAACAGAGCTGTTGTGCAAAGGCGCAGTGCTGCTTTTCTCATAAAGAGGTTCTAAGCAGTGAAGTACAAATGTTAAATCTGATCCTTTATATCCCCTGTGTATTGTAAGCAGGAGGTAACTTCTCTCTGTGGTTAGAAATATTTTATTGGTTTCCCTCTTGAGGAATTGCTGTTGGTTTCCCTTAGAAGGTAGCCAATAAAATATTCCTAGTGGAATCTCTATCAGTGATTTTAGTATTGCTTATAACATATTGATTTGGTAGTCTTTGATATTATTCTTGAGTTTTCAGATAATGTCATGGGCATCAAATACAGTTACTGTAATTTTTATTTTTTTTTATAGAGTATTAATTCCAACCAAGTTGAGACAGTGGAAGGTCCAAAAATGCCCTGCAGTACAACAAGCTCTGTAGAAGGTACAGATTTTTTCTGTAATGTTGCAGTCTTTAAAAGCTCTAGAAAGTCGGCACAGATTTCTACACCATTTATTTACCCAGGAAGATCACATTTCACATGATGTTAGAGACCTTTAAGTAAAGAACAGTGGAATATGTATGTCATACATTATGAGAGTTGTGTAAGTCGTGATATTCCTTACAGAGCATCGGTTTTCCAATGTCAGACTGAAATTGTTCACAAAATATTATGGCATTTATGGTGACTGGAAAAGCCTTAACTGATTTCATTTAAAGAGCCAGAAAAATGTGAGATAGTTCCAGGAGAGGGCAGTATTTAACTGGATGAATGCTCCAGCCTGTAAATTCCAGTAAAGCCAAATAAGTTAATAAAGATAGGAGCAGAGTAACGTTTTGTATGGGTAGTTTTGGAATCCAGCCCAGACTTCTTAATGTGGCACAATTTTCATTTGTTTCCATTAGGCATTCAGTATTTTGGTGAGTGGTTTACCTCTAAGGGTTGCAGGACGGTACTTGTGAGAAAGCTCTTTCATTACCAGAATATCTCCATGTGTACTTCAGAGCAAGCATGTCTTAGATCTGAGGAGAAAATCTCAAAAAAAAAAAAGTTCATTCTTCAGTGTCAGAAGTGCGAGGCTTGGGGGTTTACATATGATAGTTAGGAATGAATTAAAAGTTTTCATCAGTTGTCCTTTTGCTTATGTAGCTGGCACTGTATATTTGGATGAAGCAACAAACTGAAAACTGAGAGCTCTGTGAGAGAGAGGCTCGATCTTGCTTCACTTACTGAGCGCAGCAGAAATGTGAGCACCTGCATAAACTACTGACAGGACCAGGACCAGACTGGAAAAGAAAAGTGACTGTAGATCCAGGTGTCATCAGCTAGTAACTTCAAGTGAATGGGCAAAATAGGGACATAGTCATTGTGTATTTAAATATGTATGCTGCTATTGTTAGTATTGGAAAAAGAGTTTTACACCTAACTTCTCTGGCAGTGTTCAGGCAAGTGTTCTGCCATTAGAAGTTAAATTTGCAAAGAAATGTTAAGCAACTGTTAGCAATTACATCTGTTATTGTAAGTGTAAGTGACTATTTATCATATGAGGTTTGTGAATGACTTTGGTGACACAGTGTGTAAATGCATTGATTCTGGGTGTTCATCTGAGAGCTGTGCTCTGACCAGTGTGATCTTTATGCTGCATCTTGGGGATAGAAAGTGAATGGCTTGCATTGGTAACACTATATGTGGTAATACCTTGGCCAGTGTGACTCCTAGGTGATGATTACTTCAATATTTTTCAAAAAGCAGTTTTAATTCAGTCTGACTTGATGCAAGCAGAGTGCAAACATCAGTGAATATTCATTGCCCAGAAAGAGAATTGACAGTTCAGGATGTCTACTCTCATTTTGGGTTCTGGTTGTAAAGCTGCTCATCCTCTTTGCCAAATACATTTCTCATAGAGGATGAGCAACAAAGATATTTGGCATAGACAGTGGCATAGGCACACCCACCTGTATGTGTTTTTTGTGGAAGCTATATGCTTTTGTGCCTTCATGCATCAGACTTATTTTGTGCCTAGTTTTAAAAAGAAAATACATTTCAATTCAACAGCAGGAAAAGCATGCCACGTTTTGTTAGTATTCAGGACCTATACAAACAAATGGTAGTAAGCATACTTGCATGTTTTACACTTTGTTATTTACTTGTAGACATAAGAAGCCTGTAACTACTGTTAGGCAATGAAGTTTTTCATCTTCTTGCATTTTAATATTGTCATAGGTTACCATATTTCTGTAAACAAGACTTCTCTCTAGCTACCACCAAATCAAAAAACTAAAAAAAGCATGAATGGTGATTACTGGCAACTAGTAGCTTGTTTTACACTCTCACTGGCCAGCATTCAGGAGATCAAAAACCCCTTTGTTTGAGATTGAGTTAAAATTGTTGCTTCTAGAAGTAGACATTTTATGAAATGACTGTACTTTTTGCTATGTTCTCAGTTACATTCTCCTTTATAAAGTGACTGCTAAGCTCAGGACTTTATTTTGGCATATTCATATTATGAAAGTATCCCCCTCAGATTTCAAAACTGCTGCCATTCCTAGAAGTAGTAGCCACTCGCTTCTAAAGTCAAGATCAGCAGACCTTTAGAACACAATGCTATCAGAAGCCCTGAGCTGTTATCTAGAGGAGGTTGCTACAGCAGTATTTTGCTTCGTGTGAAATGCAATCATGAAAGCAATGGATCAGTGTAAGGTGGTGCTGCTGGCTTAGTGGTGAATCTCCCATAGCAACTTAATTAAATTCAAATACATGGAGTGAAATATAATCCAGTGAGGATGCAGCATAAAAGGTGAAATAAGGTGGTAATTCTGTAGTTTGTGTGCTTTTTTTTTCCTGTTTTCTGAATAAATTTCATTATTTAAAATAGATTTACTAGATAATGTGTTCCTGAAAGCCTGAGTGATGCTTTTGTTCATTTGCATTCCTGTAACCAGGTAGCCAGATTACTCCTCTTTGCTGTTTCACAGTAGTCCTTCAGGGTGCATTTGAGTAAAACTTAGAAAGCATGGGGGATTTTTTTGGCATATACTGTGTCCTTCCCCACAGCCCTTCGAAGAAACCATAAAAAAAGGGGGGCAGGGAGGAAGAAGAAAAGTGACAGAAGTGAAGTTATTTTTTATTTTTTTACTTTTTGGGGTTAAAAATACAAGGTCTAATTTCAGAAAAACTGCATGAAACCTCTGCAGAAGAAAAGCAGAGCTCATCTGCTCAGCAGTGTTGGTATAAGGCACAGCACTGGAACTGTTGGTTTTCTGAGCGTGTGGGGGTTAATCAGCAGCTGGCTGACAAATTGCAGTGCTTCATCCTTGAGACAGCATGGTTTATTACATCTGAGCAGTTAGTCTCTGAGAGAGACCTTGTGGGTAACTGTGAGTCCTTAATTGGACTTAAGTGGGAAAAATGCTTGATGTAAAAAATACGGCAGGTCCCATTGTTGGCTTCTTGGAGGTATCTAAAGAGTTTTGGGAGAGAATATATGTGAGAAGTCCCATTACAGTTAGTCAGTCATATTTGATCTCTAGTATTATATTCTGCTTTTTGTTTATAGGTATCTGTTTACAAAACCAGAAGACCTCGGTCTTGGTATTTTTTAATCACCTGTTAAAGCAGTAGCTTAGTTATTACCTGGGTATGACACTAAAATAGTAATTCAGTAATTGAGAGAAGCAAAATCTAATCAAATCTGGAAAATTTGGTGAAGATTTCTCAATACCAAGTGACTGCTGCTTTTTCTTTTTTTTTTTTTAAATGTCTGAATTTAGTGAAATATTGCTGAGTGACACTTTTGTTAGGTCATTTTTATAAATGTGGTGATGACTGTAAGGTTTTTGTTTGTTTTGGTTTGGTTTTTTTTCTTGTTTTTAATTTTAATTACCACCTGTGTGGAAGATTGATCCATTTGTTCGAGATTCACGTGTTTCTCTGCAGTATGCACTCATTTTTGGTGTCTATGTTGAAAGTGTATATTGAAGCAGAGTGTTGTAGCTGAACAGTCTTGTTAGGGGAAAAGATTCTGGTTCTGTATTGACTGCCTCTTGTTTTGATCTAACAGAAAGGCTGTAGCTGACTTTGTAAAGCGTGAACTGAACTGCGACAGATGTGAGCAGATCAGGCACTGGAAATAAGCATCTTAGAAACACATTGCTGTTTCCTCCAAAGCACAGTATATTGGCTAGTCAGAGTACAATTAAACTTGTAAGAAAACAGGCTGAAAATTGAAGTTTGTGGTGCATATCTTAGAGTCTGGAAGTAACATACCATGTCAGTTGCATTTATGAAAATGGCTAAAATGAAGTGGCTGCTGCTTGACAGTGTTTGAACTAAATTCTGAAAGCCTATAGGACAGCTTACAGCTAAGCACAAATACAACTATATGTCTTCAAAGATAGAGCTCAAGTTTTCTGTTCCTAGCCTTTCTAAGACTACGTGGTTCCTTTGAAAGAAAATGAAGATCATGTCTTGTTGGGCATTGGTAAGAAAGAATTAATAATTTTGACTTCCAAAAGCATACTGTGATGCCAATTACACATGAGGCAATTTCTTTAAAAGAGGTTAAGGTAATTGACATTGCAGCTTAACTTGGCAAAGGATCAATCAACTATATCTATGTCAGTGGGGGAGCATCTTTCAAACTGTCTCTAGCACACACTGGTGGTGTATCCGACAGTATCATGATACCAGGATTTTTCAGTAGTATATTAGCTGCTGTAGCAACAACAGTCTTGAAAATACTATCTGATAAAGCCATGTATGTGACTGAAGGTGAAACGAAGCATGTGGAAATGTTTTGATGCAACAGTGAATTGTGGGGCTGGTAGGAGAATAAAGCCAGTACATATAGCCAATATAAACAGTACATTTAGAGACTGAAACTCAACTGGAAAGGTGTTTTCAAGTTTTGCGGAAAACTCCAAGAGCAATATGCAAACATCAGCTCATGAGAAGCACGAGATGGAAAAAGATGATGAGTAACTAAGCTCTGCTAGTGGGAGCTGCTGTGCCAGGCGGAGACTGACATCACTGGCCTGTGGTTCGGTGTTGAGCTTAGAAAGAGCAGCCCAAATGGTGGCATTCAGACAACCTGTACACAGACTTTAGTGCTGCAAAATGAAGATTTGCTCTGTGTGTGCAGAAAGGGTGGGATATATGTGCGTGAAGGGGGGTGGCATATGTTAGAGGGAAATGAACTGACATAGATGTAAGATAAGAAGCTGGTAGATAGTTATCTCAGTAAAATCAGCATCTATTAATCAAGTTTTTTAGTTATTATGGTAAATACTTGTACTCCAGCCATTTAATTGTGTTGTCTCAGTGCTTGTCTTACTGTCCCAGCCAGGGAATATGAGAGCTACATAAGGGAATTGGGGCTAGTAGCAAAAATGTCAATATTCACAATTAGCCTAACTTTAGTGCTTTTGAGAATAGGACACTATCCTCAAAGTGTCACAAGGAAAGAAGTCCTGTCTTGCTCCATAATGTGATGTACATGAGATGTTAGTGCCCATATGTTCAAATCTCTTTTGTCAAGCAAGACAGAAAGGATTGGCCTGTATCTCAGTGTAGGAGGGAGCCACTTGGGGGTGATGATGGTTTGTTAATCTGAAAGCCACATTTGCTTCAGTCTCTACTCCATTTATACCATCTGGACAGAACATATGGTAGCTTAGAAGCTGACAGAGTGGAAGTTCTCCACCCTGAAATTATAGCTGATACTTCTTTCTTCTTGCCCCTGAAATGCCTTTTCCTTCTAAGGCGTTATTTGCACAGCACTGCTTGTGACAGCTGGAACAGGAGCCAGGTCCCTTGGCTTCAGACCAGCTTGTTCTCTGATGCTTGTTCTCTGATGGTGGGCAGCTGCATCAGATCCCGAGTCCTCTTCAAGGAACAAGCAAGCGACTTTGGCCACAGTTCATAATGTTAGGAGTGGTAGAGTGTACATTCTTAGAGGAGATTTTTGGTAAAAAAAGAATGGTGACTTTGCCTATGACGTGGACAAAACTTAGGCGCTTAAAACTTGATTTAAATATATTTTCTTAGGTGTCTTAGTTATATATAAATAAAATTATAAATATATACATAAATGTGTAAATACACATGTATCTGGTTATGCACCTGTGTATATGAAATGTGTCCTGAGCACAGGATCATCTTGTATTAAACTAAGGAGAATTCCTTGTTGTAATTCCTGTATGAAAAAGAACCAACTCTCTGTCTCTACCCCAAATTCTAATTACTTTATACTACAATCAAGAAGTCGTTTGTGGAAAAACTGCAGTGAAATTTGGTTCTACTTGTTCTTGAAGCCACTGTAACTGAAAATTTGGCTGCCCTTTGTGGGGGTTGGAGCATGGACTTGCTGCTGGCTGCACCCTGGGCCCTCCTCGCCCACTGGGTGCGTACTCAAATTGGTCAAAACACTCATCACATAGACATCCAGTGGGATTTTGCTATTGACTTCCGCAGGGCCTGGAGGGCTTCCAGTCAGTACTGTGTATGAGATCTGATGGGGCTGAAGTGCAGGCTGGGAGGTAACTGGGCTGTTGGGTGTGCAATAAAAAGTGGAAGTGGGGAGGATGAAGAAGAATGGATATAGAGTTTGATGATAGCCAGAAATTTGTAAGTTGTCCAGAGCTGGTTTTACTGGGTTTTTTTGACTGTAAAAACGAGCATATATTCTAACCTGACTCGTTTAACCTTATTGCAAAATATCACGGTGCCCTTACCCTGGATTGTTTTGAACTATTTCTAAAAAATTGTTCGTTTGGCAGCGTTGTTAAATGGCAATGTTTTTGGCAGAAAAGCACACAGTGGGGGATAAGGAAAGAAAAAGAAATAGTTGTCAGTGGGGGAGAGGAAGAGAGAAAGTAGCTAAGGCGGGTTGAATGAAAAAGAATGAATAGAAACAAGCAAACTCTGGAATCTCACTGGTAGTTGGATGTGTAAATTAAAGTGGACTTCTAAGAGTGACAATGTGAATGCTCTTTGAATGGGTGCAAAGTCCCCCACTTCTGTTTCTCACTTCTTTTTCCATGTGGCTTTTGCTTTTAGATTCTGTACCAAGAATCAGTGTTGTCATGGAACGGTTTTTGTTGGCAGGGACCTTTGAAGAAGTAGTGGCTCCTGGAAGGACTCTCCTGTTCCTACTCTCTTCCTTTCAAGCATCTTGACTGTTGTGGCTCTTTCCCCACACTCAACAAAGTTTGGGGATTATCTTTGCACAGGGTGCTTGCAACATTTAGTAGGATGCTAAAAGGGCACAACTCTCCTTGTTCCTCGTCTTCTTCATCTTTGTGTTGGGACCTGGCTGCCTTAGGCATCAGATTTAGTAGTGAGTCTTGTAGTTCAGTTTTGAGAATTGTAGTTCAATTATTTGTGCAGGAGGTTTCTTATCCTCCAGGATCTTTGGAAAGCCCCTGGAATCCCAGCCCTGTGAGTGTGATGGGCCAATAAGATACCAAGAAGATGAGGGGTTTTGGTTTTGCAGTATTCAAGAATGGAAGCAATAGGAGTGGGGTACAACAGGCTGCTAGACCATGCTAAACAGGAGGCTGTACAGAGACATCTCAGTGCTGATCACACTTGCCAGTGTTCTCTCCCCTCTCTCAGTCTCCTTTGAAAGTAGTTAGAGATCTGTTTTATGTTTACAAGAGAGAAAAAAACCAAACCCAACCCAAAAAAATCCCAACGCTTTTTCTTTTTCATTGAAGGGAAGCATTGAGAGAAACACTGAGAGAAACCCAATATCTAGTTGGAGAGAATAAATAAAAGAAATAAGCAGAAAGCACACACAAAAAAGGATTTCTTTTCCTTTCAATGTTATGCCATATGTATTATTGCCAGACATTGTCATCCTCAGACTCAGCAACCCTGTACATTTTGAAAGAGAGTCTGGGAGGTGACAAATGAATGCTGTTACTGTTGGGCATGTGACAGTGTGAGCTGGGTATGTGTTTTTAATCATTTATAATTCCTTCCTGCTTTGCCTGGCTGGTTTGGAAAGTGGATGCCCACAAGACCATTATAAAGCTGCAAAAGTTTTTCTTTTCTGATAAGAGAAATCTAACCCCCTAACTTGTTTTTCCTCCAAGTACATACAACTTTTTTTTCTCCCCTTAAACTTCAGGAAGGCAGGATGATGATAATTTTCCAAAATATTTTCCCTGATCTCCTAGTTACAGTGCCAGTGACCTAGTGGTGTCTGTCTTAATCTATTCTGTTTGCTCTGCCAGTGGTGAAAGACTTCTGCAAGCCATGTTTGTGAGAGATAAAATTACCCATGCCAAATTTTTGGCAGTTCACTCTATGTGACCAGGCAGCTACAAAACATTTTTAGTAGAGTCTGCCCTTTGATTTTCATGGTTCCACAGAAATCCAAGTTTAACCACGGATCAGTTTAAGGAACAGAACATAATGATCATAATGATCTTCTCTGTAAACCAGTGGGGCTGTACTGTAATCTGCATAAAAATCTGGTTTTGATGTTGCTGTTTTGTTCTCTTTTTTGATTATATTCCTCAGCATGGTTGGTAAGACTTCAAAGTGGTGGGGGTTTTTTGTTTGTTTGTTTGGTTGGTTTTTTGTGTTTTGTTTGTTGGTTTGGTTTGGTTTGGTTTGATTTTTTTGTGATAGAAAAAAACCATAGTCCTGCTGCCTCGAGTCCTACCTTTGTGCAGTTTTTGTTAGGTCTGTAAAATTATTATTTTTTTTGTACTTACTGCTGTCATATCTTTTGCTCCTTTTGTTGGTGTTTGTTTGCTTTTGAGGGTTTTTTCTGGACGTACTTTCAGTCAAGTGTGGTTATATTGACATTAGAACTATAGGAAATAATTTAATGGTAATTGATAGATAAGAGTGAACATTACCTGTTAAGTGTTGCCTATCTGAGATAGTTGCAAGAATCCTGTGATTCAGGCCATGCAGATTTTTTCTTCGTGGTCATTTTTTTATTTTTCTGGCAGCTTTCAATCCTATTGTTCCGTTATGTATGCCTTGGGAGAGGCTGGGTGATCCAGCATAGCATCTCTAGTCCAGGAACTGCATACTTTTGCTTCAGTTTCTCTCCTTAATGGATTTACAGCAGGACTTTGGGTATGTCATTTATCTTTCCTCTGTGACTCAGTTTTTCGCTTGAAAGAAGTAGGAGCATAGAGAGCAAGGTAATAAAGAGGCACTGCAGTACTTGGGTGATTGGAGATGTGCAAATATGCTGACTGGTTGTGCCAAAGAAGCTCAGTTTGTGGTAAAGGATGCTTTTTAAAAACTCATTTTTAGCCAAAGGGTAGATGATATGAAAGTTGCAGAGAAAAATAATAACAGAAGAAAACTGCAGGGTTACTGCTGCAGCTAATGACTGTGGCAATTGTACTCTGCCCTTTTGGGCTGCAGCTTTGACATCTTTATACTACTGCTTCTACTCTTGCAAAACCTTTGCATGGTTCCCCTCACTAGGGAGACTTAACTTGGGGTTGATCT